GCAGACACCTGTTTGTAAACAATGACATGCTATAGCCATCTGACGCATGCACAGATGACGACTACCTCGCTTTAACCTAAAGTCAATATTGTCAGCATTCACAAAATTAAATCCACAAAAATGTTTTAAATTTCTTTTCAAAATTTTGATCAAGATCTGCAACCAACAAGAAATTATGTCTATTCGATCCAAAATTAACAAACAAATTTGAAATAAATACATAAAAACTTGAAATGTGGCATTGAAATTATGGCGGAAAAAATTAAGTCATTCGAAGGATTAAAGTGTCTTAGCTTAGCAAAGAAAGACGCTTTTCCAGACATGGTCAAGGGCATGAATTCTGTGTTGTGTGTTTATATGTTTATAATACAGATGTAATTTTATATTAATTCCATCTAGGTGTTTATCATTACTGATGGACATGTACATGTACACATCCAAAGTAATTTCAGGTCATCATGACCATGAATAGATGTATGTTATCATATACCTCGTATTGCCCAGCCATGCAACGCTATAGGAAGTGCGCCCTCACATCATGTCTGGCCCAGCACGCCCGGCTTTCAACAATCACAATAAAAAACACGAAATTCTAAATTACGATGCGTGTTTGAGGTCATGCCGTGGTAAAATTGTGATTACACCAATAAGATGCATGATAAAACCTTTATGGACTGATACGGCTTATGCTGCCCTCAGCTTTGACGCTTCCGCCGCATGACCTCAGACCACAAAACCTGTATCTAGTCCATATAGAATAATATACAATATAAATATTATATGTATTAACGTGTCGATGACATCAGAGATTTGGCTTTGCATGTTCGTCTAGTTTCTGTCAGTTCGCACAATCTTTGGCATTGATTCCAGTGGGAAAACAGCATTTTTTTTAACAGGAAGTACCAGATCATTGTCGAAAACAAAGTTTACCCTTTCATGCTAGTCACAATGAGCATTTTATTCTTGAATACGCATCACTTTAGTTTAGACACCAAAAAGTACATCCTATAAATACTTGGCTCATATGGGCATGCAATAGAGCTAATATTTTTTTTTTAATATTTTGTTATTAGACGCATAAAATCCTTAGGAAAGGATAAAAAGGGTCTACAGATAGAAATTTAAAAACTATAATCTAAAAAGAAAAAAAAAAAACTATTCTAAAAATATAAAACAAATCAAAAACAAATATGGTAACTATGGTTTACTATTTTTAGAACAGTCTGCAACTATACTTTCTCAAAGTACATCACGTTTAACTTTATTGTTGCCTTACCGTGTTACAATTGGATCTGCAGCATGGTTTGGACCCCATTTACCTAAAAACCCTCTACCAATCATTCCTGTTCTACCACATGGATTCCTATAGAAATATGAAATGTACAATTGTCATTATTAGT